TTTTAATTATTATTTATATAATATATTAAATTTTTATCTAAAATTGATGTTTAAAAAGTCAAAAACTCAAATTAAGTTTACTAAAAATGAATGAAAATAGTAAAAATATAAAAATTAACATTAATTTTAATGTTGGTGCCATGTGTACGAATTCAATTAGACAATTAATAAATTAAATGTCAAATTTAATATTTTTAATGCAAATTAATAATAAAAATGCACCTATTTATACATTCTTAAATGTTTTCAAATTGGGGTTATTAAGAAAACAAGTTCAGAGTGTATAAATATGCACTTTTGTTATTAATTTGTATTAAAAATATAAAATTTGACATTTAATTTATTACTTGTTTAATTAAATTTATACACATGGTATTAGCATTAAAATTAATGTCAATTTTTATATTTTTACTCTTTTAGTAAACCTAGTTTAACTTTTCAAACATAAATTTTAAATAAAAATTTACCATATTATATAAATTATAATAAATTTTTTTTATCAAATAAAAGTACCCAATAAAAATTTCATGTAGGAAGAAAAAAAATCTTTAATTGTTATTCATATAAATTGTTAAATTTCATTTAAAATTCATATTTAAAAAGTTAAAAAATTGAATTAAGTTTATTAAAAATGAATAAAAAAAGTATATGTTTAGGGAAAAAAGGGTTCTTAATTTGTATCCTTAGACAAATTAAAAAAACATTTTTTATATTTCCATGCATAGATAATCAAGATTCAGCTCTTCACCATTTTGGCTTTCTATCATTTTCCTAATTTATAGTTGTTTTTTTCGTTTGATTTTAATTAATATATAAAGAAAAAAAAGGTTTTTTATTTTACAAAATTTTTTGATGGGTGCATATTGGCACTGAAGGTGATGGACGTTTTGATAAAAAAAACAAGGATCAAAGTAATAGAAATAATTGAAAAGAGAGATCTGATTTAAAACCGCCAAAACATAAAATCATGGACCCTAACTAAACCCTAAGTTTGCAGCATATATGGAAAAAAATAATAAAAAATAGTTTTAACTATTGACCATGATGCAATTAACGGTCCAAATTAAACGAATGTAGAAATGGCATCAAGGAAAGGATGACAATGAACAAAATAAGGGGAGCAGAGGGACGACATTGGGTGTGATTTGGGAGTAAAGGGATGACAATGAACAAATCTGTAGTAGAGGGACGGTTATGAACAAAATTTGAAAGTAGAGGGACGATAATTGGCTTTAACCGTTTCAAAAATTCATATCCTTCCCCAGTGCATAAACAGGTCTGCCATCGACTTCCAGAACTCACTCTTCTTCATTTACCCAAAATCAAAACCCACTTAATCAATTTAAAATCTAAATGAAAAAATAAAAGATGAAACTAAAGTGAATATATTATCTTGTACTTAAATGAACATATTTGTAATAATAAACGAGACTCTTAGGTGGCTAAATTATTTCTTTAAAATTTTTATACTGATAAATATCGAGATAAAAAGTTATATGTATACTTTATTACTATTAATACATAAGATGATTTTTCACTTAAAAAAAGTGGAAAAGAGAAAGTTATCAAAAGAAAAGAAACCAAGGACCAGAAAAGGGAAGGGATCAGCATCCCTTTGTCACATGCTTCGTGTACCAAAGTCACAGAGAAACAAAATGAAACCATTGTCACCAAAGCGATTCTCAAGTAACCCAATTTAACAACACCAAACAAAAGCTATAGAAAAGGAGGTTTAGTTCTAAAATAGAAAGGAAATAATTCCAACATTTAAGAATGACAATGTTACGCATGGCAAAATCCTCCAACATGCATCAGACATGTACACCCACAACTCAAAACCACATTCCAATAAGTTCAATCAAAAGTAGAATGTTATTTTCCCTCGCCATTTACTTTCAGGAAACTTATCACTTAAGCCTTAGGAAGATCACCAACTTCATTACAAAGTTATGAAGAAAACTTGCCAGTGCAGCAATTGTTTCATCTCGAATGGCAAGCAGTGATTAAAGAAGAGCAAGGCACACCGACATTATGTACAAAATTAGAGAATAAAAGCTAGAGAGCAACAAATAGATAAAACATACATTAAAAAAGTACTAAAAAAAACATAAACAGATAAAACAATACCCTAAAACAACAATAAAAATTTCAATTAAAATTAACTTTGAAGAAATAGTCAATCTATCAAATGAGGCTGTTTATACTCTAGATCAAAAAGTTTTTAAGGTCCATAAAATAGAGAGGTTATAGAGGTGGCTTTAAGTAGAGGTTGAAAAAATCCATTAAAATATTCTTGAAATCTATAAAACACATAAATGATAAAACTGATATTCTATTTGTTTTTATCTAATTTTTTGAATAAAAACATAAGAAAAGTGAGTTGTTTGAAATAAAAAATAAAAAAAAAGGAATGAATTGCAGAAAAATTAAAAAATCTAGGTAAAACCAAAAAGAACCGAATGATATTAGAATAGCTGTCATGTAGTTAGA